TTCTATTAAAAAGGCGTATAGTAATGTACTCGTGCAATTTTAATGCATCTAAAACTGCCCATAAAGACGATAATGAATAAAAACTGAAAATTTTCATGCATTTCCAAATGGTTTCCTACCATTTCCATACATTCGAAAGTGACTGGCCCTCTGGATGTGGATGATGTCAAAGACAACAAATCACGATTAATTGAGTAGTCCTTAAGTTTTTCTATTGGCGTCTTGCAGTGAAACTTTTCCAAGCTTTCGCCTCCTACATTTCGAAGTGAGAACTACTAGAAGGAGGATAGTTTCCAAATTTTCCAAGTAAAACAGACGATTTTTGAGGAAAATCGGTCCAAAAAGAAAAATTACTAATTTCCCCTGGAAACTATTGCCTGACTCGTGTAAGAAAACGTGTTTGAAAACAAATTGTTATTATTTCGGTATGTTTCGAAGATGTTTTTACGGAAAATAATGCATAACAAGTTTGCACCCACAGCGAGAGGTTACCTCCTGCGCAGCTGCATTTTTCGGAAAATGGTTAATATGTGCGATTTTCACTAAGATGAAAGTGGAAATTAAGTGAATTTACTTAGGAAAGGTTGTATCATGCTAGTGGTAATAGAGAATTGGTTGTATGGGACGCCAAATTCAATAAATGCTCATTTTGGCCTTTTTTAAGCAAACATATTGATACTCACAATTTTTGACGAAAAACGCTCCGGAGCTTGATTTACTCAACACGCACCATACTATAAAATGGTGCTAGATGGTCTTCAAAGTGATAACAAGATGACAAATCATCTTTATTTTGAGTAATTGAGCAATTTACTTTTGTTTACCATCATATTTACGATGCAGCATTGATGGAGCCGTGAAATGAAATGAATATATCTTATGAAAGTTCACCTGGAAAAGTCAAAGCTGCACATCAGTCTGATCGTAAAAACGTTTTCTTCTTCAATTCGAATGTTATATTGGAAGGATTTCACGCAGGCTTGATGAAAATTATGATTTAATGCTAATTTTCACGAATTTTATATGCAGTCTGTCAACATTATCATCATCATGCAGTGGCGACATCTGCGTTGAGCTTTTGCGGCAATCTTCCAATCAGGAAAGGTGAAAATATTGTCCTCCTCCTACACTCAAAAAAATGTGCACGTCAGATTCATGTGTTTTAACCTTTGCCTGTTCAATTGATCAATCACAATGATTGTATGTGTTTTCCACATTGATACAATGTGTTTTACACACTTATTTCTCATGTTTCTAACTATGGAATGATGAAATATCCCACATAATAAATTAAAGTGCATTGCACGCTACATTCATTTACAATATTCATGAATCTGCGCTACATTGAAAAACATACAAACTCGAAGTGTTTTGCATTTCAAGAGGATGCTTGCTTAGCAAAAGTAAACAACAATATTTTTGGTTTTCAACCTATCAGCTTCAAGAGAGCAAGATAAAAACCCTGGTTTGGATATGAAGCCAAATGTCTACAACTATTGGTAAATGTTAAATTTTGAACCCGTGGCCGGACGTTTGCAACCAATATATCCAGGAGTTGGTGGAGTAGTCGATTGATGTACGGAGAAATCGGTTTCGGATGATATTCTGAGAGCTATGATTTTCGTGACATGTTACAGGAAATGTTAATACCCCGTTCACATTACAGCCTATATCACGTAATATAGGCTGTCTTGCAATGAGCACTCATACATAGGATTTCCAGTGAAAACTAGATGCATGAGTGCTCATTGCAAGACAGCGTATATCACGTGATATACGCTGTAATGTGAACGGGGTATAAAAGGAATTTTTGTTTGATTTTGTTTACACTCATTTCTTTATTCATCAGGATTTATTTGCCGTTTTCGATATGAGTTTAATCGATTCTTTCGGAATCGACTATATGTCGGAAGAAAAATTAATATATTTCTAATACCCCGTTCACATTACAGCGTATATCACGGAGCAAGGAGCACTCATACATCTAGTTTTCACTGGAAATCCTACGTATGAGTGCTCATTGCAAGACAGCCTATATTACGTGATATAGGCTATAATGTGAACGGGGTATAACATACTTCTCCCAATATCATTAAAACCCGATCTATCTACTATGTTTATCTACTGTCATAATAAGAAAATAAACATTGGAAAATAAAACTTCGTTTCAAAATACATTACATTTAATACCTAAGTCGCCATTAAAGCGACAGTTTTACAAGATAGACGCACATTTTTGCCTAGCCCGTACGAGTCCCCGCGTACATCGTACGGGCTAGGCAAAAATGTGCGGCTATCTTGTAAAACTGTCGCTTTAATGGCCCTTCGCTCCTTTTCAACTTCTATTCAATTTTCATACTGCCGTACTCTAACGGAACTATCCACCTACCCTCTTCTAAAGATCATTCTCTAGCTAATAAATCATCACACTAAAGCTTCATGTTAGCATTTCCAACCAACTCATGAAACTCAGTTTAATCATATCGAATGATTAAAAATTAATCCTCTCTTTCTAAAAAATAAGCATCTGATATTAATGCATTGAATGAGTACAATTTCCCGAGCATTTCTAGGAAAAAAAAACTTCTTTAATATGAGGATAATCGACGAAAATTTTACTCAGTTTATGAGTATAGTAGTAGACTGAGTGAAAGCGCTCTAGATTTCGATAAGTTTTTCCTGAAAAAGCTCAGTAAATTTTACACATTCAATGAGTGACCCACGTTTTTGCGAATTTGAGTGAACGATACTCAAATATGAAAGGGTTTCATTTGCCGTGTATTCTATTTTGAGTAGTCTCCGCAGCCGTGTAGTGTACGTAGCCACCTAGCGATGAATAGACAAACCACTACAAGCTGGGAAAGCTTTATTGAAATATTTCACGATGCTCAACAACCCGAGTGTAGTGGGATATTTGTTTTAAAGCATATTTTACCAGGTGATGAAAGCGGCTAGCGGAAATTGGTTCAGATAGGGGAAATGAATCTAATGTTGGCCTATTGATCTAAGATTGGGCCCATCGCTAAAAATCTGCCATTTATTAATTTTATCTAGATGAACGCGTCATTGGGACGGTACTAATGGATATGTCTGGTCGCTATTGAAAATTTATGTATGGGTTTAAATTAGGGGCATTTAGGCCGACATTACATCCATTTCCCCCATATCGATTAGCACCAATGAAAAATCTCGATTATGATATGCCAAAACGGTTGTCTAAGGCAGAGACGATGGTTTATAAGAGACGCGCGGGGAGAATAAAACTTAATTTGTTTGCACGGTCAACAAAGTTATTTTGTCTGCAAGGTTTGGCAACCAGTAATTTTGTGTTTACTTCGAGTGACTTTTAATTTGAGTGACTGTCGTCTGTTTAGGCGTCACGGTTCCGTCGGCGATTGGCACTAGATTGCGGAGCAGAGACCGACGTTAAATAAAGGAATTAAGAAGAAGCGTCACGGTAAATAGGCTGAATTTATTTTTCAGTCACTTTAGGTAAAACGAATACCGTATCGGTAGTGATTATTTGAAAAATTGCATGGCATCCTTCTGTAAAAATACACCGGATAAAACGTGACGGAAATTTCAGATTTTTCTGGTTTCCCAAAGACAGCTTCGTCAGAGAAAAGAGTGATGGAAAGCTCTCGATTATGTCGCGTAATTAATCTACCATATTGATAATTTGATAATTATCGTCTAGCTGAAAGTTGATTTCGGGTAGGGATCATATACGACCCCGTGGGAATGAATCGGTTAAATTAATTTAAATGCGAATAGCTTAGAAGAACTGTAATAACTGTGACAAGTAATTTGAAGATTCAATCAATCGCCAGCGAGCATGTTCAAAAATGCCTGCAACCGAAAACGGTAAGACTAATTGACGATACATTAATCTTAACTGATTAGTTATGACATGAGTAATCACATAAATCCATTGCCATCCTTACTGAAGTGTCCTCAAGTACCCCTTGAATAGCAATCGGTCAAGCGGGTCGAGTCATGTGTAACTAAGGGTATGAAATTCTTTCGTAAACATTCACAAGTGGATTGCTCAAAGTTGATTCAGACAAATGTAAGTAACTCGAATGTATCTTGTATCTCATTTGCTTCACGTATGACAAATAATTAATGTACAAAAGAAGTGGATCAACCGTCGATAATCAATATCTATCTGCATTTCATTCTTTACAATCTGTTCCCATTGAATGGTCCGAACCGGAACCGTCCGGCTCAAATTACCTATCGCAAGATAACCCTTTCCGTTTCTTGCATATCAATCGACAGCCGCCAGCCAATAAAGTACGTGTTGCGGGGCGGACGGCTGCCGTGCTGTTATCATTTTGCGATTGCGACAAAAACAAGTGTCAACTATTTAGCAGCAATCTAGATCAAGAGTACAAACCACTCCGGGTCTGACTCAGAAGTGCGATCCCAGTCAAATTGCCTGTTGTTTGTCTAGGTGATTGTGATTGTGATATTCTTATCTGCTTCTTCTGTGTATGTTTTCTTAAAATGTGAGATTCGAAAAAAGAAATCATGCGAAAAAACGTGTGAAATGCGAAAGCAAAGTCGGATTGATGAAGCAGATCAGGAGAAAACAAAAATGTTGCGCGATGTGAAGTTGAATGTTATAAGCAAAGATTTAAGGAACAATTACTGCTTCAACTGTTTCGTGTCTCTCAAGTGAAGTACCAATTGTTGCGATTTGAAAATTTAGATTTTTTTTTTCATCCAACAGCCTACGAGTCCTAAATTTCGAACTAAGCTCTAGCTTTCTCTACCTCTAATGCCTAGTTTTACTTGATCGAAAAAAAAAACCAATCTTAATTTTGTTTTGTACATTTTTTTTCTATGAAACAGTAAATGTGAGAGATGTGTGAGCTGAAGGAAAATAATCGATGTGAGAAAGTAATCGCTTCAAGACGTAGTAGAGTTTCTTTCGGAATTTCTTTGCATCGTGGGGTTTGTGGATTTTTTGTTGGTGAACTTTGTACGGTACTTACCGGCAAATCGTGCGAATGAGGTAAAAGATCTTTTCTCTGAAAAAAAATAAAGAACGAAAGAAAATTATAAGATATGGGGGAGTATCGAAAGCTCGCCTTCTTCATCGCGCGATGACAGCGATAAATAATGTGATTATAAACAATGACACCCTCGCCCCTGTCCAGACGCCAATTAACTTAGAAAGTCCCATCAATTTCGGTACGTTATTGGCTGCCCCATTTGCGCCGCTTTGTTGTATTTTGCCGTCGTCCCAAGGAAAAGGATGCTTCTGCCTCCGATAAGGAAGCGGTCCAAATTTAGTCGAACCAAATAAGCTTTCCTTTGCAAAGTATTTCGACCCTTATTTATTATCCAAGTTTCAACATCATTATATGTTTTATGAATCGGATGGAGTTTGGGAAACTCTCCAGGCGATGTTTGAGCTTGAACAAAAATATTGTCGTTACAGTTGAAAACTGGAAAAACCGACAAGCTAACTAGCCTGCAACTAAAATCTCCCAATAGAATAAAATAAACAAGCGCAATCGATTTTACTCTCGTTTTATAGGTTAAGCATAGTGTTGAAAGTAGTGCGCTGTAATCGTACAATGATGCGTTATGATGCGCAATATTTTGAACACTATGTATAACATTTCCCAAGAATCCAAGAATCTCTTCCCATGCCTTATCTTGAGGTGTTTTGTGAAGTTTTAATACGCCAAAAACTAAGCGATCAATTCAACCTCTGGAGAACCTCAAAAAGAGTGTTGTGAGCAGAATTTTTTGCCGTGAGACACTTTTCATAAAGGGCACCCGCACCAATGCGTTGCTAAAGCTATTTTAGCAACCTCCACCGTAACGCAGCAACCACACCGGGGTTTGCTATTCACGTGCGGGAAATAACAATCTGGCTCTCAATAAACAGCGGATTGTCAAATATAGCAGTGCGATAGCAACCAACTCCAGCGTTCCTATCTGTGAAATGTCAGTTTTTTTTTTATCATTTTCGTGATTGTTGAAAATGATTTATGGATGAATTTCGATCTGGGACAAAAATGTGGACAGCAAAGCGGTCTTCTGGAAGATCCGGAACATCCGTAAATGTGGGAAATTAGCAGACAAGAATCTAGATTTGATTAATCAACTTGTTCTGATGCTGCATGAATGAATTTGGATTTGAAACCAGTATGTACACTCTGGTGGCCACGGAAGGGTCCTCAAAAAGATCCGGAACATCCGTAAAGCTGGTCAATAATTAGAACTGCCCGAAAGATATCTGAGCTACCCTTAAGTTCTGTAGAATTTATTTAAGTTTCTACGTATCTGCATTTAATTGAATCACTTTGAAGTTCTTTGTTTTCCTTGAGGTTCCCACAATGCCTGAAGTTTTGAAAACTTCATTGAAGCTCACGGCACTTCATCAAAAATTTCTCATCCTACCTGAACTTCATTGGACTTCCCTGAGGTTTTGAATCTTTCCTGATTTTCAATATTTTTTTCTATTTTTCCGGAAATTTTAAAAGTGTTCATAAAATTTCCTAAAGACCCCGCATTATTTCTGAAGTATCACAAATATTATTGAAATATCGCATAATTCCTTTGAACTACTTGAAAGATCCTGCAATTTTCTAAGAAGAAGAAGAAGAAGAAGAAGAATTTTTTTCTTTACATAAGTTAATGAAACCGATATGAAGATCTTTGATCGTCTGTGAAGGTCCGAGAACTTCCTAAAATATAATGAAACTACCAAAAAATCTATATAGGGTAGAGAACTACTTCGGCCTAATCGCCCATTTTGGGCCTATCGAGCAGAAAACTTCAAATAATTCCATGATTTCAGAGTTAACATGTCAATTATGCGTTTGGTACGATACTTTAGCTAATAAGCTACCAAACGAAGTCAATGAGAACGCGTAGTATGAAGGTTTGCACCCATTATTCCCGTTATAAGGAATTTAAGCGTTCCGATCGAATTAATTTTTATCTTCATCCGATAGGATGAAGTGAATTCATTGGCGTTTCAATGCGTTAGGTCGAGTTTAGAATTCGTCGGCCGAGTTTGGCGTCAAGTGGGGGAGAGGTAGCTCATCGATTCTTCCGGTTCGCCTCCTAGCATCGTGCTATAAGGTACCAGGCGATAACCAGGGTAGTTGATCGATAGCTCGATGACGTCATTTCGTTGGCCTCTGCAATGGGAAATTCTCATAGCAGGCGTTGACGATGGGACGTTGTCGAGTTGTTGAATAGCAACTATCGTGGTAACTCACCGATTACCTGTCGATCTGCCAAATTTGGAAAGACGTCTGCATTGAATTGTCTCATATAATAATATTCCGCCCACTATATCACAATAAATTGCGAGTAGCTGAGTGGAATGGAGATAAGTTAAGCATTGGGTACAGGACCAAGTCTCCCCTGGGTGGTGCCAAAAGATGAGCGCAATAGAATCATCAAGTTGCCATAAGGCACGGAATGAGACTATTGCATGACTGGGTAGTCAAAGTCTTCCATTCGTTAGTCATTTCAGGTGGATTAGAACACGTTTAGGTTTAGGGTGGGCGTTGGCCAGATTTGGATTTTTCAGATGTAATCCTGGATAGGACCCTGTCATTGAACGTCGCGTGAAAGCGGAACCTAATGAAGGCCTAAGTACTTTTTCGTAGTTTTTAGTTTTCGGATTTGAAAGATCGTCGGTTACAGTGGCCTGCTTACTGAGCAGAAAAACGTGGTCTCAGGTCCTTACATATCAAAGAGATTTATGGTAAAATCGCTTGTGTATCGTGTATTTTGCGAAACTCGTTGTTGTCGTTGGTTCCGGGTTTGAATGGATACACAAATTTGAGCAACGGTATTATGTGATATGAGGGGCTCGGTGGCCTTAGAGCAACCGTTTTTGCTTACTGAGCAGAACATCATGAGTCTAATCTCAGGCCCATCCACATTCAAGATTCGTCAATCGTTTTATTTGTTAATATGACTACATGGTAATAACAGCAACTCGGTGATTAAAAAGGTGCTCGTCTGCCTAGTAGCAAACGTTTTTGCTTACTGAGCAGAAGACCGTGGGTTTAGTCCCAAGCTCCTTCGCGTTATATGATCGTTAGGACATCAATTCAGCTTATCGTTTACCAAAACGAACCCTGCTGCAAACCCAACCCTCTTATCCAACATCCCAGTGATTCCTCGTGGAAGTGCAGAGGTGTTCTCGGCTTCCATCAAAGCGAGTGTCATGTCAACACAATCCTTCCCATTCCTTTCTTGACCTGTGTTCGGGCGCGGCCGGCGCTGGTATTGCCTAATTTAAGATCACCAGTTTTTACACATTGAGGATGATTGCTAGTCCCAAGCATCGTCTATTGGTTCTCTGTGCAATTACAGCTGATCTGGCAGTAACAGAGTAGCAACCGTGGGCGGTCAATCAAGCTCAAGCTCAAGCTCAAGCGTAGGCCGAGTTTGGCGTCAAGAAGCAGTGTTAGATTTTTGACAATATCTCAACGATTGGTTTCTCTTTATCAAATCTTACGGTACGTACGTAAAGGTAAATAAATTTGGAAGCCATCAGTAATAATAACATTCCGTTTGGTGCTAAACTGCGCTAGATTAAGAAAGACCAAGTGTGGGTTGTGCTTAATAGGCCGGAAATGGAGTAGTTAACCCTACTGAAGGTCTCTAGACGTCCTTGAAGATTTCTGCACATTTTAAAAGATCTTGAGATTTCCTTGAACATAATCTGATTGTCGCTGAATTTCCTGCAATTTTTTGCAGCTCTTTAAACTGAAATGAAAACCATGGATCTCCCTTTAAATAGTCTCACATTTTCCTGATGCTCATGTAACTTATCTTATGTTTCTGAAATTTAATTAAAGGCCTTGGTACTTTGATGAAGTTTTGGGCATTTTCTGAGTTTCTCGGAAGTTCTTAAACATTGTTTCAATTTCCTTGAAATTAGTTGAACTGCCCTTAGTTTCTCAGATCTGTCCTTCTGCTTTCGAAGCATTCCTGAAGTTCCCTCAAAAGAACTGTCCTAAAAACCTTTAAAGTTCATTCAGGTAGGGTAGGGAACTATTTCGGCCTAAGCGCCCATTTTGGGCTTATCAAGCAAAAAACATCAAATAAATCCATTATTTCGACTTTAACAGGTAAATTGTGCATTTAGAACGATACTTTAGTTCAAATGCTACCGAACGAAGTCAATAAGAACGCGTGATATGAATGTTTGCACCCAATATTCTCAAATACAAATGAAGCGCTTCGACCGAATCATGTTTTATCTTAATCCGATAGGCCGAAGTAAATTCATTGGCGTTTCAATGCGTTAGGCCGAGTTTAGAATTCGTAAGCCGAGTTTGGCGTCAAGAAACAGTGTCTGACTTTCAACAGACTTTACACAGTATCTCAACAATTTGTTTCTCTTTATCAAATCTTTGAAATCAAGGTAAATAAATTTGTAAGCCATCAGTAATAATAACATTTCGTTTGGTGCTAAAATACGCTAGATTAAGAAAGATAATGTACGGGTTGCGCTTAATATGCTGAAAATGGGGTAGTTAACCCAATATCTATATAGTCGAAAAAAAAAACAATCACGAAACTCTGAGATCAACTTCAGCTCGAAGTTCGACGAAAAGTTTAGCGGCTACCGGTGCGAAAGTCGAAAACATAAATTTACAATCGTGATAACCATGATCGGTGCGTAAGCTAGTTACTAACTAAAATAGCAACGGCTAAAGTGGTCAAACTAGCAACCCGAATAGCAACGCACCAGTGCGGGTGCTCTAATAAATTGCTTCATCGGAGATTCTCCAAAACTTGATCAATAATGGAACAATGAAAATGCTGAGATTTTGACAGAACTATGCTTTGGCTATCACAGTATTTTACATTTGACCGTCCATATACAGTAGCGCCAAAAGCATGCTGTGGTGGGTTTAAAACTTGACCATCTAAATTGATCAATAGAAAAATATAATTCAGTACCGTTTTTGCAAGGATCACCAGCAAGAGAGAAAAATGGAAAATTAGAATAGCCACCCGCACAGGTGCGTTGCTATCTAGG